AACCAGTTCTGTGGTTCTTCCATGGTCTGTATTTATATGGATGTCATTGAACACTTTGACTAGGCCAGTCTCCATGCTGTGGTAACCATAGAAACCAGACTGGAAGCAGTCAAAGTGACTGGTTATCGTTAGAAAGTTATTTAACTGTTGAAGCTTTTTCAGTAACTTTGCTGATGAATGGGAGGTCAGAGGTCAAAGGTCGGCCTGTAGTTCTGCAGTAGTGATTTTATCAGTGGTTTGAGAACTGCTGTTTCCAAAGGAAAACACCTGAAGAGAGCGATGAGTTACTATTTGGATCAGATCTTTTTTTTTCAAGTTTATTTGATAGGGACAGACATGGACAAACTGAATAAAACATCTTCCCATGTTTGCATCATGGTGCGATAGCAACAGCTAATTCGCAGCACTTGTCCCTAGATGGGCTTTTAAAAAGTAACTCTAAAAATTGAAATGATAATCAGTTAAAATAGCACAACATAATATATACAAACAGCGAAATGTAAAACATCAAAAATGGGTACAGGTCTGTTTTTGACATAACCAGAGTTTTGTTTGATTTTTGAACGTTCTGAAACTGGTTAATGACAGGCAGGACTTCCTTAAAGAAATGTGAGGGTCAGAACTGGAGCTTCACTGACTTATCATTTCTTCTAGGGTTTTATAATTAAGTAGTTGGAATTGGGTCATTATTCCTATACTTGTTGTGTTTGGTATTGGTACTGGCTTTAGAGTGGATGTTCAGATTAAACTTCTGATTTTCTGAAATTTCTCTGAAAATAAGCTGGTAAAATGGTTGCAGGCTGAAGTTCAGGCGCCTCACTGATGTTACTGATGGGAAAACATGTTACGGTTTAACATGTTACAGTTTTATAACATGTTACAGTTTAATATGTTACGGTTTAACATGTTACAGTTTAGCATGTTACTGTATGCTAGCTGGAGGTTAGCTTGTTGCTGCTGATAATGTGGCAAAAACATTTTTACACAAAGTTATAAATTATGTGAATCTTCTGTTGAAATTATTTGGAAACTCAGAATCATCCCGGTTCCGGTCCACATTCTCAGGGGAGAAAGACTCCCCTGAGAAAAATGAATTAAGAAAGTCATCAGCTTGTTTCATCTTTAGTCCAGAGTTGGTAGCTGGACCAGAACCAGGACCAGGAGGATCCCTCTCACTTAGCTCTGGTTCCTCCTGGTTCTGGTACCAAGATATTTTGATTAACCGGGTCGGTTTTTGTCTTCTAGGTTCTGGAGCTGCAACCAGAATTTCTACTGATCTGACGGAGGACGTTCCAGAACGAAAACCTGGAGAACGGGTGTAGAACCGGACCAGACTGCTCTGATCCAACGGGTCAAACATGAAGCTATCAGGTCCATCAGAACCTTCTGGGTGGTTCTCAATCGCTCTAGACCCCATCCAGATAATCCGGGTTTAAACCGGATATGAGGCAGTTCCGGTCTGCTTCCCTCTGATTGGCTCCTTCTCTTGGAACCAGAATCAAACCCGGAACCGCAGAGCCCTGTGACCTGATCCAGGACTTCTCGAACCCCCAGCAGAACCAGTACCGTTGAAGACGGACCGCATGTCCAGGTGAGGTTCGGGTCTCACCTGGCTCCTTTGTGTCTCCGCTCCGGAAGTTCCTCTGTGATCACGTGAGCTCGGTGCAGCCGCCGGAAGCGGACTCCAGCAGACTCGTTCATGTTCGGCTCGGCTCGGTTCGGTTTCAGTTAGAGCAGATCTGGACTAACGGTTCAGCGGGATGTTGAGCTGGGCTCCTTCTTCTGCTGCTGCGGTAAAAGCGGAGGGTCGGATTTACCGCCCCCAGCGGCAAAGGAGGGAACTACAGCTGAAAACACGAATCTTCTCGCGAGGTTTCGGGGCTTTTCTCACTGTAGCAGTCCGTTTTCAGGCCAGCTGACTGTTCAATGATTTATTAAAGCCAACCGTATCATTAGTCAACAGCTAGATCAGAACCAACAACAATTAGTGACCCGTTTTCAGGCTCCGTTGAGCCGTTACATTATCACAGTTATTCATAAACAATCACAGATTGACCCAGAAACAAACTAAACTCAGCTGCTTCTTGTCCCTTTATACTGCCGTTAACCTTCCATGGTAGAGCGGCGGTTCAGTTACCATAGCTACGGTCACACGAAACCTGCCAAAATAAAAGCATATCACCTCCACGGTTGTTGAAATAAGTAACCTTACTCTATAAATTATATTTAATCCACGGTAAAAACATGAATCAGATGGAGGCTCATTTCTCAGACAGCTGTTATTGATCGGAGATGCTCCAATAAAATTCAAAGATCAGTTTAACAAAGGAAGCTCTTCCCTCCAGCAGGTTTGTCATCTGTTAGTCTGTTGGCTCCTCTTCACTGGAGCAACTGGAGAAAAAGAACTAAAGTGAATCAGATTCTCTTCATTTACCCTGAGAAAACATTTCATTTTGACTATTCATCTTGAAACTATTCCTAATTTATTTTTAATGTGAATACAGTCAGATATTCTGCAAAGAACCAGGAAAAGAATCTCCTTTGATGAAAGATAATTTTTAATCAAGTTTTGGACAAAGAGACATTTAATAAAACTGCTGCTGCTCCTCAGTTATGAAGCCAAATGGAAACTACAAGCTGAAACATTGGATACTAAAATATCAAAAATCCCCAATAAGGAAGAAAGATATTTACACAAAAATATTCTGGACAAGTTCAGGATTCATGACCATTCTACTAGACAAACTCTACGTCTTCCCCGTCACCTCTGACCCTTTGTGCTGCTGATGAAGATGATGAAGATGATGATGGGTCATCAGGCGCTTTCTGTTTCAATAAAACAGCAGCAGTGGCTTTTATTACTTTTCCAGAAAAATTCAAATAAACCCCGCCCTGTCCCGGTAGGCGTAACCATGGTGACCACTAGCGGCGCTCTGATTGGTCAGACCGACTGCAGGCTGCTGAAGAACCGGTCCAGAACCGCCTCCAGCTGTTCCTCACTGTAGTCCACGACCAGGAGGCGCCGCCCGTCCGCCGCCCCTCGTATCATGGCCGACAGCGCTGCGGAGGCAGGAAGTTAACACCCTGACGACCAATCACGTCAACCTGAACAGGAAGTGACCTCACCGCGTCCTGACGACGGCCGGAACAAACACAGCACCTTCTTCTCCTTCATGTCAGCGGCCCGGCCCAACTCGTAGCCGACGCCCAGGGACGGCTGCGTCACCTCGGCAACCACCACTGAGACACACAGGGGTCAGAGGTCAGCGGCCCACCCCTCTGGGACCGACGCTACGATCCGGTCTTACCGTCAGACTGCTGCAGCCAGGCCAGGTCTCGGTCATGGATGGCTCTGTCGCCCCCTGCTGGGCCCTCCTCTCCTGACCAATCAGAGCACAGCTGGTCAGTGACATCACATGATCAATGACCAATCGGCACCATTCATCGATGCTGAACATGTTCATTCATGATTGGGACAAAATTGAACCAGTTCATTCATGAACTAATGAACCTTGTGGCCATGTTGGCCCCAAAAGTCCCCAGCAGCTTTAGCTTTAAAGAGAAGATTTGAAAATAAAAGCAGATTTGTATACGTGTCCCCACCATGTCCAACGGGACGTGTCCCCACCAATATTTCCACCTTTTTTCCTTTATGTTCCTGCATCTATTAGCGGACAGTAACTCGGCAGCAGCTGCTCCTTGTGTTCAGAGCATTATCAGCTTCTTAACATTATTTTGCAAAAACGTAAATATTGAGTCCTCTCAGTGATCTATGGTGGACTGGACGTCACGTGACCTGCTGTGCGCGGCAGTGCGCCGCTGCTTTGCGCCACGTGCCAGAGGTGGGACCAAGTCACTGTTTTGCAAGTCTCAAGTCTTTGTCCTCAAGTCCGAGTCAAGTCTTGATTTTAATGACTCGAGTCCAAGTCATGTGACTCGAGTCCCCAGCTCTGCCACGTGCGCTGGTGCTTTGCATTGAGTCTGGAATATCGGTGGTCTGGAAAATGACACAATCAAGCACAGAATCTGAAAAGGGGACGTAATGTTTTGCTATTAATGGTCAACGCTATGACAGCAAGATAAGAATCTAAGGGAATTACATTTCACAGGTCAGTAAAAAGTTTTAATTTAAAAATCTAAAGTGTCGAGTAGGTTAGTAGCCTAATGCTGTATCTTGACTTGGATTCAGTGGAATCAAACGATGCCCAGTAATGGCGCCGCAGGTTCGCTAGCTGTAGCGGCTAATGGCCGCCGTCCGGTCCAGGAGCATCGATGGTCTCTCTGCTCCCTGTCCTCTCTTGTATGAAGAGCTCCAGTTTCTGAGCGCTCGGTAAAATCAGGTAGTAAAAGGCAACTACATTATTGTGATATCACAGAAAATGTTGGTGGATTTTTAATTATTTTCAACTGTAAGCAAGCATTGAGCAAATCTACAGACTCATTCCATAAATTAGAATATGTTAGTAATTCCATCACCAAGTCAAAGACATTATAGATTAACTAGAACATTTCTGAAGAAGTTCAAAGTGTGGCCGTGGGTTGGAACCCAGCGTTCTGATGCTGAGATTTAGCATCAATGCTCGGCTTAGCTAAAATAATATTAATAGCATGTGGGAAATCTCAAGCATGCTGACTAAGTTGGACTTACTCCATTCAGTAGCTTTAAACTAGTGTATAAGCTAAAAAGAGCCAAAATACTAATGTTGTTAGCCTAAATGCTGTCAGTAGCATGTGGGGTATCACTAGCATGATGTCTTTCATTGACTTTCTCCATTCAGTATATTAAACATGGCTAATACATAAACACAGCTAAAATGCTTATTTTGGGGAGAAGGGTAATGCTAGCTAGTGCATTGCTTTGCTCCACAAGGCAGTGCACTAGCAGGGGAAGTGCACTGCTAATGTTTCTGCTAACATGTAGAACAATAGGTGCTTCCATGCATTGGTATGGCAGGCCCCAATTAGACAGCTGATGTTTTTACAACTCTTAGTATGTTTAATAGCTGCTAAAAGGTTTAATTTTCTAAAGGTGCTATTAATCTGATGAGCCATATCAGGACGTATATCCTAATTCATTGAGTCAGGCTGTATGGCATTCACATTTCAGTTTTGGCTGCATCTGTAGCACAAAAAGACCTTCCAGTCACATAACTCTGGTGCGGTAGAGTCCTCCTTTTCCTCACCAACTGGCAGCACAAAGTTACACCCTTGTACTAGACCAGGGGTGGGCAACTCCAGGCCTGGAGGGCCAGTTTCCTGCAACTTTTAGATGTGTCTCTACTTCAACACACCTGAGTCAAATAATGAGGTCGTTAGCAGGACTGGAGAGGACACACTTTCAATGCATATATTAAAATTAGGAAGGCACCTTTTAATAAAAGAAGCCGAATTGCTTCGTTTTGCAGCCGCACGAGCAATTCCCAAAGGCACCTTTGCTTTTCTCCTTTTTTTGTATTTTGTTCATTTTCTACTTTTCTCAGGTAATTGTCTATTTTATGGTTTGGACTTCTTGATGGTTTTGGTGTGATGCTGATCTGTTTTTTTCTATGCATTTAATTGTCTGAATAAAACTCTAGATATGTCTGAAGTTGAATGGCGACTGGTTGTTCTCTGCGTGGTTTCCAGTGTACATGTGGAACTCTGGATTCGAGAAACTAGAGGAAAAACAACGACCAAAGAAGTTTAACAATTTTAATCCTCTAGTATTAACAGCCATCATTTGATCCAGGTGAGTTAAACCAGGTAGAGAACTGAAACATGCAGGATGCCGGGCCTCCAGGACCGACTTTGGAGACCACTGATGAACCCGGCAGGTTCTTGTTCAACAACTCAAGTGCGCATGCGCGTCCCACCTGAGTCGCTGAGCTCGGCGCTGGCCACGTGCTCGGTGAGCACGCTCCCGTATCTGTGCAGCTCGTTCACGATCCTCTGGTAGAGCTGCTGGTCCGACCTGCCACCCCGGATGCTGCCGCAGAAATAGATCTTCATCCTGGACCGGGCCTGGTTCCGAACCGCCTTTAGTCTGGACCTGCTGTCCTCGTCTGCTTCTATAGTTCTGTTGGCTGTCTAACTCGAGGTTTCCACTTCCGGCCTCTTCCCGCGCGGAGTCCTTCCCTTTAAGAACGTTAATTTCCGGTTCCTGTGGCTCTCCTCAGTCTGCAGCTATAGATAAAAAAACCACTGTAGAGGCGCAGCAACACCGATCAAGCCCACCTCTCTGCAGCAAACAGAAGGGGGCGGGACGGACCGCTGTCTCTCATACCTTATTTGCCTTATTTGGAAATGGGACCATTGCACTCCGGAAGTGAAGGGGGCGCTATTTCCTATATTATCTGCGGTTTCCCGTTTTTATTTTCTTTTGAAATCTGATATAATCTTCATCTTTAGGAAGGAGTTTCACTCTCAGCATGTATTTGAATTTTCTTATTTACACTTATCTACAGCTCACAGTTAAATTCTGTGTACTTCTAGATCTGCTCCTTAGTCGCATCTTTTCAACTTTTCAAAATAAGAGGGAACGTCTTAAAGCGGAGTAAATCTGGACGTACTGATCAGAACCAGCCAGAAATCCCACAAAAACAGAATCTTGGAGAATTAGTTTTTCAGGAAGTCAAAACTGAAAGAATAGCTTCTGCATTCCCAAGGCACTAAAACATCAAATAAGATTGTCTAATCAGTCCAGCATATGGACACAAATCATTTTAATAGACAGGATTTTATAGACCTTCCTGCTGCTAAGCATCGGGTTGACTGAAGTGATCTAGCAACCCCCTGCAGGGTTCATGCAGCTTTGTTTGGCCTTCAGCTCACTGACCCTTAACTCTGGGAACCGATTTGGATCTGCTGCTGGTCCTGATCTAGGGGAGCGGCCTGCTGCAGCGCCACCTGGTTGGCTGATTCACTGGGTTTTGATGAGAAACGACTGAAAGTGGCAGGGCAGCACCTCTGGGATATGCTGAGGGCGCTGGATCGTAGCAGACAGCGTTACAACTCCCTGCAGTTGGACTCCTCTACTGCTCGGTCTGACCTGTTGGGTCTGCTGGGTTCTGGAGGGGAACCCGGCCTCGGACCATCGAGTTCCTCTGATTCTCTGCCCCATTAAAACCAGTTTGTTTGTTATGGTAGGCTGCGCCGCCTGCTGGCAGAAATACAGAACTGGACCTGTTGCCAGTTCCAGAACCAGTAGATGGGAATCAGATCTTTATTAACATGTTGAACACACCGACATGTTTCATTTTCCTGTGAAGGTCCGAGACACAAACATCTGACCATCTGTAATAAACAACAACAATAAAGATGCTGAAGACAATGGAGAGCAGAAGGAGAGAGAAACCCAGAGGAAGCAGAAAACCAGAACCAGAGACAAAGTTCTACTGAACGGGACTGGGTCCAGAAGGTCTGGGCAGAGCGGCCCTCACCGGTCCCTCCCTGGGCTCAGTCGGGGCCCTCACCGGTCCCTCACTGGGCCCTCCCCAGGCTCCTGGCGGTGGCGTTCAGGGTCACCTCATGAACGTCTCGGGCCACCCGCTCCATGGCAGCCGGGTCGGGTCCTTCCAGAGAGTCCAGCAAACCTGGAACAGAACCAAGCAGAACATGAGTCGGTTCTGACCCAAATGGGACATGGAGGTGCAGAACCGGGCTGCAATACGTTGACTGAAACCAACACATGGTATAAGCATCAGGAGTTTTTCTATGGTGAACCGGTCCTAGGGCTGAAACGATTCCTCGAACGATTCGACTACCTCGGTTATTAAAATTCCTGGAGGAAGCCTCGTTAATTTATGTTTTATTGTTTAGCGCGCCGTGTTCCGGCCGTTGCGCGGAGCTCTGACTTCCGCCTGAGTTGTTGACGGAAGCTAAGTGCTAGCAGCACAATGTCCAGATTCAAGTTCGGCCCGCAGGGATTTTATTGATTCATGATAATGTTCGGGGTTTTGTCGTTTTTCGGGGGACCAATAAAACATCCTTAAAATGACGGGAGCAACGCCTGGAGTACTTCTCCTCCCAGAGCTGCTGGTTCAGGGCGAACGGCGGGATTATTTATACAGATGAGCGGATAGACTGAAAGATGCGTAGCTTTACTGAAAATACAGGAAAATAAATTTCATATCGTTCTGGTCGCAACCAATGGGTGGCAAAGAGCATCGTGATGTCACAGACCTGGTAGATGAGTTTCTGTGTGTGACAAACAAAGATGTCAGATCCCGTCGCCAACATGAACACAAACGATATAAATGTCTGGCAAGGTGAGAGGTCATCTATTAAACTGACTGAAGATGAAAAAACCAAAAGCTGGAGAATAGACACTTTTTAATAGCCTGTCTATTTGTGAGGAGGTTATCTGTGAGCCTGCCTCTTTATTATTACATTGAATATAATTTCAGATTTTATAACTTTTCTTCAGGTTAGCTTAGAAAATGAGCTGTTATTGTTACAAGTTAATTTTTTAAACTACAGAAAAGTTATTGTTAGCTCAAATGGGAAAAACTGGACAGATATTGATATGTGATAGTAAAACTGCTGTTATGTTAGATTTAACAATGTTTAACTTTATCTTGTTTTTTATCGAATTACCCGATTAATCGTAAGAATAATCAATAGATTACTCAATTACTAAAATATTAGTTTACAGCAGCCCTGACTGGTTCCATCAACCATCCAGTATTAATTGTTTTCATAATAAGTTTTCGCAGCCTAATGGAACCTGTAAATAAGTGCTAATTGGAAAATTCTCCTTGTTCATTGGTCCAACAGTGACTCCTAGTGGTTAATTTAGGCTTTTATTTTAAAGAACGGTAGATTTCTTCTTTGTTTGTTCTGTGGTTACCTAGCAACACCCTACAAGATGAGACAACGTTAGATTATAAAGAAACCCGGAGAAAATCTTTAAAATAGCGCCCTCGGAAAGCAGAATGAGGTATAAATATACGTAATTGTGATTTGTAATAAGAATGTTATAGGTTTATTTAAGAACCATTAGAATATCGTGGTTTACAAACAAATCTGTATATTGATGAGTTAAAGGACATAACGTATTCTTTTTGTGTATAACTGAATATTGATATGTTGGTTTTATACAAGAGCTGAGTATGTCCAACGGTTCTGTATCCTTTTGTTTTATACTACAGTTTTCAGGTGTCAATGGAAAGAAAGGTTGAGATTAAACTGCACCGGTTTGAAACTGCCTGCGTCTGGCTGTTCAATCCGAGAGGCTGCGACAGAACCGCTTCGTTCCACCGGGAGTCTTCTGGAGCGATCGTCTCATCAAACCCAGGAATCCGATTCATTAAAGCCAAACAGGCAGTGAAGTGATTAACCAATTCAGCTGCAGCCAGCTCATGTGGGAGATCGTCTCTGTGTTTAAATCACATTTTAAAGATTTCCTACTTTCATCTCCTGAATGTTTCCACAGTTAGAAGCAGCCAGGCTGATGGTTTAGTCAAATCACAATGCATCAGACCGTCTCCTCTGCTGCCATCAGCGCTTTGCTCACATCATTTCTAAACCAGAATACAAATTTATCTCCAGATGTTAAACTCAGCAGCAGTGAGGGGCAGCTGGTCCTGACCCGGTTCTGGTCCTGACCCTGACCCGGTCCTGACCCGGTCCTGACCCTGACCCTGACCAGGTCCCGGTCCTGACCCGGTCCTGACCCTGACCCGGTCCTGACCCTGACCCGGTCCTGGTCCTGACCTTCCAGGATGCGGTGGTAGCTGAAGTGCAGGTACAGCAGGAAGCTCATGTGCAGCAGCGCCAGGGAACCGCAGAGCAGCAGCCGTGGCGTCTGACCCACCGTCCGGGAGAGCAGCACCACCACCTGCAGGACACACAGGGAATGAGGAGCAGGGGCTGATGGGAAACGGGGCAGAGGCAGGGGCTGATGGGAAATGCAGTCCTACCATGCGCAGCGTGGACAGTCCTCCCAGCAGAAGCCACAGGCCGTAGAACAGGAAGTGGAAGTGGATATTGTAGGTGACCAGGAGGACCACGCAGTGCCCGAACAGGCCGTAACCCTGGCGACAGGAGACAGGAAGTGATGTCAGGGTGTCATGGTGAGTTGTGGAGGGGGCAGTGGTACCCACCAGCAGGGAGAGCATCTGCAGCAAGGTGATCTGAGCGTTGACCAGGTAGGCCAAGAAGAAGACAAAGCAGGAAACGCCAAGCCAGTAGCCGAAACACGTCCCGATGGCCGTCCCCATCAGGGTGCCCTCCACCTGGAGACAGAGGGAGGAACAGGTGAGGACAGGTGAGGGCAGGCAGGCAGGGGGCGGACTGAGCGCGTCCTTACAATGACGGTCCCAGAAGTCTTCATGCCGTGCAGCAAGATGGCCACCAGGGTGAAGACCAGCATCAGCGGGCCGTACAGCTCCCCCGCCACCTTCTGCAGAGGAAGCACAGTGGCTCACCTGGAGCTCACCTGGAGAGGGCAGGGCTTATTGCAGAAGAGTGGGGTTTACCTGGGGGAAGGTGATCATGCGAACAGGTATCATGGACTCCAGCAGCCTGGCGGGGGGAAAGGCTAGCTTAGTGTGGGAACAGGAAGCAGCTGACAGGACACAGGAAGTGGAGGTCTCACCTGCAGCGCACCTGGGCGGGCTCCACGTCAAAGTATGGCCTGAGGATGTCGATGTTGGCGTAGAGGTTGAAGGCTCTGGATGCCTGCCGCTTCCCCGCCTGCCACACCTGGAGGGAACAGAGAGAGGGGGCGGGGCTTACAGCATCCTGCCGTCACCATAGCAGCATTCCAGCTCCCACGCACTCACCTCGTCCGCCACCTGCCGACCCAGCTGACCTTTTAGCCCCTTCACACCAAGGAAGTCATCAGCGCGGTCGGCATCGGCGGCCGCCGCCTCCTCGGCCACTTCCTGTTCCTCCCTCATCCTCTGGTGCAGCTCGCCCACGTCCTCGAAGCTGGAGCCCGACGTGTCGTCCATGTTCTCCATGTCGATGACCGCCGCGCCGACGCCCTGAGGACGCATCACAGCAGGTTCTGATACCGGACCAGCTCTGGTCCGTTTGAGTTCCAGGACCTCCAGTTGTTCCTGGTACCGGGTCAATATTATCAGCTGTGTAACCAGAACCAGCCCTGGTTCTGACCCAGCATCTGTTCAGCGTTTCACTGGCTGTTCTGGTTCTGGATGTATTCATTCAGGTCAGCCGTTGGACTGAACATGGCGGAGGAACCCGGAAATAAATGTCCGTCCATCTCGGTCAGAGCAGGTGGAGGCCAAACGCATGGTGGCGCTAGAGAGCTGGCAGGTGTTACTGTGAACCCGTCACTAACACAAACAGGAAGCTGACGCTAACATAAAGCTAAAGCTAACATAATGCTAACATGAACACAAAGCTATTAGAGTCTGGGCAAAGAGAGAGTCCATCCATTAAACTAGTGTCTGAGTTTATTATTAAATTTGATAGTTTCAGATTTTTGTAGAATTGTTGTCCAGGTTAACTTGAACAGTGAGACATTATTATTACAGATTCATTTTCTAAACTACAGAAAAGTTACTGAAAAACGCATGAAAAATCCGCAGATGCTGTTATTCAATATTAATACTGGTGTTGTGGCAGAATTTACCAATATTTTTATTTTATCAAATGTTTTATTCAATTACTCGATTAATTGTCAGAATAATCGATTACTAAAATAATATTTACAACAATCCTAACCAGAAAATTAACCGGGTCTTTCAGAACCAGAAGAGGTCCAGATGTTGGGTCCAGAAACACTTTGATGGTTTCAGACCCGGTTCCCTCCAGCTGAACAAACCCGATCAGAACCGTCAAGGTTCCCATCGACCCGATTCTAGTCTTAGTAGATCCGGGTTTATTTTCGGTTTCAGGCTTAAACCGACCAGAACCGAGGAGAGGTCGGGTACATTTCTGTGAAATTCAGGAAGATGAATCTGGGTAAAATTCTGGTTCTGTTTCAGTTCAAGGATTTAATGAATCGGTTCTGGAGTTGTTTAAATAAATAAAGAATACCTCCAGAACCTTTGGATGGACTGATGCCGGGTCAGTGTTCGAACCAGTGATCAGAACCTGATGGCAATACCCGATCAGAAGCTCCTGATCCGGTCAGACCCGTTCCTCCAGTTAGCAGGTTAGCAGATCACCGGGTCGGTTGGTTCAGTCAGCGGAGGCTAACGTTAGCTCAGCCAGTTGGGTAATCTGCTGGCCGGACTGCTAGCTACAGTTAGTTAGCCTCCCGGTTAGCTAGCTGCTAGTTACCCCAGGCTAGCTCCGGCGGCACCTGTCTGACCCACCTGGATGAGCTGGTCGTCGAACCCTCCCCATGGCTCCGTGCTCCGGCTCCCGCCAGACATCCTTACGCGGCGGCAGCAGCAGCAGCTCCGGGTTCCGGGGTTCGGACAGTCGCTGGTTCTGGTGTCTGTGGATGTCTGGCGGACTCTAAGCTGGACCGGAACCGATCACATCCACCGATGTTTGTGTTTGTGATGTCACAGAGCCTTCGTGGACAATGGAGATATCGCGAGGTTTCCATTCATGGTGGGAATTCCGGCGCCGTTCTGAGATCCGAATCAAGCGGCTGAGATTCATTTGCTCTACTGCTGTGGAGTATGGAGAGCCATTTCAGGCAAAATTAAATAAACAAATAAATGAGTAAAATAAAGAAATAAATGAGTAAGTGGCATCTTTATTCCCATTTACCGTATATTTATTCATTTATACATTTATTTATTCCCAGAGTTATTTGTGCCTGTCCTTTTACATTTCCTTATTTTCCCAATTCTCATTCATCATTTTCTAATTTTCCATTTTCATTTATTCTTTTTCATTTATCCTTTTTCAGTTTTCCTTTTTTAATTGATCTGTTTTTCATTCACCCACTTCAGATGTTATCAGCCCATGGAATAGCTTCCGAGCAGGCGCAGGAGGGACCGCCTGAAGCTATTTCATGGCTGATAACATCCGAATCATCATGCAGGTTCAGCCCAGTGACGAGTTTTCACGCTCATCACGCTGGTTTTATATTATTTTATTATTATTTCTATTATTATTTTTCTGGTTACACGATGCATCAAACCATACCAAATGCTTTGTCCACTCAGTCAGTTAGAGTTAATGCGTGTGGAGATCTGAAAAACTCGTTTCATAAAGCTTGAACAACCGAAACAGTTTGTGTGACTCTTATTAAAAACTCAACAGACACGAAATGGAAGAGCTACCTTAGTAAATATACTTTAGTATATTTCAAATATACGTACATTTGCGTAAGTAAATTTTAAGTATACTAAGTATTAAGTGTACTACATATAAATAAAGCATACTAAAAGTATGCTTGTACCAATTTTGACATAACTTTAAACACGCTTAAATCTAATTGTACCAAAATACACTTTTAAGAAATATAATACTATAAGTGAACAAAATATGTATTTGCTCAAGTAATGAAACAATATGCTTTTAAAGATATTTTGTGTATATTTTAAAATACATGCTCAAAACAGATTTATTTTTTAATTCACTTGACGCTTACTTGAAAAGTAAACTATTAAATACAGTGAACCCTCGCTATAACGCGGTTCACCTTCCACGGTCTCGCTGCTTCGCTTTTTGTGTGTGTAGTTTTTTCCACAGTGGATTGTGTTCTGCTTCCTGATTGGCTAAACAGTCTCCGCTTCTTCTCTACTTCTGTGCCAATAACGTTACGGTATTTAAATATACGTAATACAGCTCAGCAAATTTGGGCATAGTTTCGCCCAGAAAAAAAAAAAAAAAACAGCGACAACAACTACCGAGAACTATGACCTTCTCTCGAAAAAACACACCTGCGCCACAGGCTTCACAAGAAAAAGACACTGGAGAGCGGAGTCAGTCAGAGGCACAGTGAAATACGCCTACTGTACTTCGTATTGACGATTAAAATTGTTATTTTACTGTAGTTATTTATTTGTAAGAAAATGTTCTAATTGTGAAAATAAGTTTTGTTCTTTGGTTTCAATGTAAAGTATTTAATTATGCTGTATAATAATTGTAAAAAAATAAAATAAAATAAAGGTAACTACTTAACGGATTTCGCCTATCACGGGTTCTTTTCGGAACGCAACCCCCGCGAAAAACGAGGGTTCACTGTGTACTGAAATTTCAGTATGCTTTAAATTACATCTTAGTGTATACTGGAGGAACAGAAAGTCCAGAGCAGGGGTGTCCTGCATGTTTTAGTTCTCTCCCTGGTTTAGCACACCTGCATCAAATGATGGCTCGTTAGATGGCCCAAGGAGAACATTGACTTGCTGAGGAGGTTGTTGCTAAAACATGCTCGATGACGGCCCTCGACCGAGGACCGACTTTGGACACTCCTGGTCCAGAGTGAAGTTTACAGACAATGATGGTTCTGGTCAGGCTCTGGTTATCCTTTCATACCAGCAGGGGGCAGCTTCACTCTGTCTCCCACTAACGAGAATTACCTTCCATTTATCGCGAGATTTGGCTGATGTTTGTCCGTGACGCAGTGACTTTGGGTCAGCTGCCGGGGTTCTGTAGAGACACTCGGCGTTCACCGGCCGTTTTTTGGGCTGCAGTGACACCGAACCGGTTCGAATCGTTTATGACCTCCAAATCCAGACTGCAGAGCAAAGCCACGCGGTGAGTGAAGCTCCAGAGCGGCTATATTTAGCCCGGGAGGGCAGCTGCTAGCCGCGCCACGGAACTGTGGGAGTTTCTGGTGTTTCATAAATGTTTTCTGACTGATTAGAGCTTTTCGGGCGGAACTTGAGCTCAGTGTTTATGTTCCTTGCGCGGCGGAGACACGTGGCCCGGCCTGAACAAGATCTGCTTTGAAAATATGCAGTTTTCCTTTTAACAGGTTGACTAATCAGGTTTTTCCCCTCCGGTTTGTCGCATTTTAATCATATTTAATAAAGTTTAATTGAATATTCGGCGCTGATTGTAGTGTCATCTTGCCGAATGTGAGCTGGTAGATGAGCTTCTCCAGGCTCCTAACAGCTGATCGCTGGAGTTAAAACAGCAGGTTAACATTAACATGAACATAGTAAGCCGTCAGAGTGGTTGTTTATGACAGGCTAGCAGGTGTTAGCTTGGTGTGACAGAGGGCAGGAGGCAACATGGCGGTCAGTAGGAGGCATAGAGGGGGAACCAGTGGGTGTTCCGGCTTCTCACTGGCCTGCTTTCACCGCCTTCATCCAGGGAACTAACCGCTACAGCTCACCGGCTGATGATGCCTCCCGCCGCTGCGCATTGGGTGTTCCTCGGCCGCAGTGCCCCCCTGTTGGTTTGCTTACCTGTTTTCTGTTTGGCTGTTCCCAGCTGGTTCCGCCCTCCCTCTCAGTGTTTGTGGCGCCTACGTGCTGTTGTACAGACAGTAATGGCGTTCCTTTGAGCTCTCGGTGTGTGAGAGCGTTTAGCGCAGGATATCGCGAGAACAGAAGCGTTCCGTGCGAAGCGGAGCTGTTTTTGTCTTAGAAGGAAAATCAGGTAAGAGTTTAATTCTAGTTGTTTCCAGAACATTTCTGCTCATATTAAAGATCTCCGGTGAAAGCAGAGCGACCCGGTTCCGGTCGGAGGAAGAATTGAGGCCGAACGGGATGGATTTAGAACAGTTTGGCCGAACGGTTGTGCTGCTTCCTTCCGTTTTCAATTCCGAACTTCAGATTGTTACTATGAAGAACAGTTAAGAACCAGAACCAGGATCAGTTCGAACATGTTAAGTTCGGTCACGTCTGGTAGTTTCTGGTGGATCTAGAGACCAGCTGCTTGTGTTCCAAATGGTTCTGTGTGGTTCTGGAGGCCAGTGAGGGCTGAAGGTGTTTTGGACCCAGAGGAACCAGATGACACCATCAGGTTATCGGCCATCTTGTTGTTTTTATGTTCAGGCTGCTGACCTTTGACCTGCTGCTGACTGGCTGATCTTCTCCAAAGTAAAGGAAGTTCCTGTTCTGTTCTGAAGCTGCCTGGCTTCACTTCCTCAGGTGTGTGTGTGTGTGTGTGTGTGAGCGAGCTGCTGACGTTGGTGTTCTCTCGCTCTGGTATCTGGACGTTTCCTCCAGAACCAGGAGTTTTGCCGGTTCAGCTTGGCTTCCTGCTGACACATCTCTGATTCTTGGTTCCAGGTTGAAGTTCCTCAGAGAGTTCAGAGGTCAGGTGAGATGGCAGCTGCAGCAGCATTGATTATTGATCAGTGATGTGATCGGTTCTGGATCCGTTTTTTCTGATTCCATCAGTCAGCAGAACCTCTGTGACCTCCATCAGTGTCCTGCCTCTGATTGGCTGAAACCAAACCACCTACCCCATTTAAACCCTGTTCTCCATAGCAACAGACCAGCTCTGGGGTCAGAGGTCAGCCAGCTGCAGAGTGTTTATCAGAAACAGCCTCCAGCTGATCCAGGCTGGCTGCTGATAGGCCCCGCCCACTCTGGTACCACAGGGCCCAGCCCAGACGTGGTTCAGTGGGATGACTGGTGTAATCCCCTTTGGGTTGTGGTTCTGACCCGTTGTGATCCATAGAATAATGGAGCCATGCTCACAAACAGCTGAGTCAGAGGGGGGGCTTTGTTCCAGAACCGGGCCACAACACTGACCTGCTTCCTCCCACAACCACAGCATGACTCGAACCGGCCAGGTGGGGAGAGCAGATCAGAACCAGGCCAGCTCAGAGAGAGGTTCTATTCAGGTCCGGTTCTAGTTCTGGTTCTGTTCTAGTCCGGATTGGTCCTCTTGTACGGCCCCAGATGTCTTAATCAACATTACATAATTTCATAACAATAAAACACAGAAAACATAAATGTTATAAAACTTAAACATGAACCTGAAACATCATGGCTGACTGGTAACCATAACAACAGACTGGCCTTCCAATCAGGAACAGTGACTATTATGGTAAATACACCTTTTACTAGTCTATTCTTTACTCTGCAATGACTTCTTACTGAGCCAGTCCACCAGGGGCAATCACCTGTCAAAACTCATTTTTCCAAGAAAATTAAAGAAAGTGAACTAAGTGAGACAGCTCAGATTGTATAAAAATGTAAATAATTTACCAAAGAGAAACTGAAAATTCCACCAAAGGCTAGCGGTGTTCTGTCAGATAGCCCTACGCTGTCAGGATAGCACACATGCAGTTAGTAGCATGCCCGCGCATGCGCATTAAGAAGTCCGACCGTCAGTGGAGTTGTCAGTTCAGCATATGCAACAAGTTATGACGAAAATAAGTCATTAAATTGTCTATAATATCACATAATATGATAACTAGATAGATATAGATGCGTTGTGGTTTCAAAGTGTATTTAAAGCAGGTCTGGCTGCAGCTGCAGCCAATTACAACACACCGTGTAAAACTCATTAACCGCCAAGTCAGGATGCCATACAGCTGTTAATAACCAAGTGTATGATGATCTACGTCATGATTCTATGTTGCTGATTAAATAAAATCATATGGTAATGACAGCGTATGCATGTCTGAGCTAAGGTATGACTATCTGACAAGGTATGCTGATCTGACAGAACAGCGGAATAGGGGCGTTTCGCGGCGCCCCGCATAGACAGACCGGGTATCTGGAGTCCGACTCCCGTCCTCTGTTCGCTGGGCCCAGGCCTCCCTCCCCTCTCTGCCCCCTTCCTGTCGGATTGCTGTCAAATAAAGGCAACTAGTGCCAAAAACATTTTACTAAAAGTTTACCGGAGTAATGTGGGGCAACGCGGCATGATGTCGAGCTTTTTATCCCTCCAGCTGATCAGCGTCGCTCTGCGTGTTGAAGCTTCCAACCTGGCAGCTTTACGCTCTTCTAAAATACGTCTAACGTCTGGAAACAAAGTCCAAGCTTCACTCTGAGGGTCTGATAGAGGCGATCTCTGCCGCCGTCTGCATGTGAGTTCAGAGAGCCGCTGCTGATCGGCGGAGCATCGGGAGGAGGAGCATCGGGAAGCGGCGCTGGGTTCAGCTGTAACCAAACGGGATCCGGTGTTATGATTGGTCTGGTTGGTGATGTTCCACTGTGGTCAGTGGGATCATTTAACTCCTAAATGTGCAGCTATCCAGAGATCAGCAGCATCAGCCGGTGTTTGAAAGAAAGTCAGACCCGACTTTGTGCGACTTTTCTCTGCCGCTCAGGAAGAACGATCCGTTTCTTATTCTTTTAATTCTGCATAATAGACTTACTGAAAGCAGGTTTTTATCGATATTTGCCGTGAAAATAGCTGATAAAGCCTCCAAGTTACTGTGAAGCGTTTTGAGCTTACGTCACTATGACGTCACAGCTACTAGTTAACTTTTATCGTGTTGTAGTCGACCTTAAAAAATATGAAGATGTTCGACCCCTACCTTTTACTGTAATAAAGGTAGATTTATCCAGCATGTTGCACATAAAGAGATTTTCTGTAAAACCTCCAGACCTGACAGGAACCTGCAGCTCCCTGTTCACATCAAGTTCACCATGTTTAATACTAATGTAACACAGCCAGTCATATTTAACAGAGCTGCGTCATGACTGTCCTCTGCTGCTGTTCAGGATGTCTCCAGCGGGGGCAGCAGTGAGCAGCATGAAGTTGTGCCAGGAGGCCCAGGACCAGCTGGAGGACGCCATCGGGTCAGTTCTGAAGGCCGAGCAGCAGCTGAGGGACAACGCCAGAGAGGTCAGTGTCCACCCGACCTGCTTCTGAGCCCAGCAGAACCTTTCAGAACCACTCACTGCTGCAGGGTCCTGATAAAGGGTCTGATCATGACTTTCATCTCAATATCATAAGAAAACTTTCAGCTCCCCCGCCCAGTTCTGGTCCAATCAGCTGCCAGAACCGGAACAGAACCACGCAGCTGGCTGGCGGCTGAAGAAGGGAACACAGTTGTTTCTGGTTCTGGTTCTGGACCAGGTCTGCTTCTGGTTCTGTTCTCCAGCCACACTTAGTCTACTTCATCCTCCTCATCTCCCTCAGTGCTGACTCAGTCTGGTCAGGTTTGTGGTTCGACCAGAACCAGAACCTCCATGATCCTCTGGCTGAGTCAACAGCTAATTGTAGAGAGAGGGCGGGGTTGGGGCGGGGTCAGCCTGACTATAAGCGTCTCCTCGCAGAAGCTCAGCTCCAGCTGTTGGACCCGTCTGACCCGTCAGAGGTTCTGCTGGCTGATTCTGGGTTCTGATTGGAGGAGCCGGGTTCTGTTCTGTTGACCGACCCGGTTCTTTATGCCCTCAGTTCTCTCCTGGCGCCCTGCTGCTGCTGTTTCCACGGTAATGCCTTTGCTAGCGCCTGGCAGAGCAGTCGCCCCGGTTACAGTGAGGGCAGCCAATCGGCAGCCGGAGCTTCACCTGCGTCTGCTTCACCTGCTCTCCCTCCAGGTGCGGTCAGAGCTGCAGAGCTGCATGAGCCGCCAGCAGGAGGCGCTGCGCTGCAGGGAGGTCTGGCTGCTGGGACAGATAGAGTTGCTGGAGAACCTCAAGACAGAGACGCTGCAGCACCAGCTGCACCAGCTGCACCGGGTAACACACACACACACACACTCACACACTGGACCTGGTTCTGGTTTTGACCCTGTGGTTCTGGTCCTGCAGCTCAGAGGTCAGTTTGAGGTCATTGCCCATCAGCTGCAGAACAACAACAACAACGACCTGAGCAACCAGCTGACCAGCTGCATGGAGAAGTAGGAACACACACAGACAGACGCACACACAGCCGGCTGGTCCTCCTCTGTCCTCTGAACGGAGGTGCGTTTGTTTTCTCCTCCTGGCTGTGCAGGTTGGCCTCTCTGAGCCTGGCCCCTGAGGAAACCCCTGAGATGCGTTTCCATGCCGACTCCCGCTCCCTGAGGCAGGCCATCACCTCGTTCGGCAGCATCGCCGCCCAGGTAACACACCGGTCTGTCATGTGATCTGTGGAGAAGTTCTGGTTCTGATCCGGCTTGTTCTGGCGTGCAGGCGGAGGAAGGCGTGGCCTCCTGCAGCCCCGCCCCTCAGAGAGCCCAGGTACAGAGCTGTTCACTTGGAGCCAGACAGCATGTGAGTTTGGGTTAAGAACTGACTGGTTCTGGTCCTGGTTCTGTTCTGACTGGTTCTGGTTCTGTGTGCAGCAGCTGGAGGCGGCGGCTCTGGGCGATTGGCTGCTGGGGAAACGTCCAGCTAGCAGCAGCTCTCTGATTGGTTACCAGGCCAGTAAAAACCCTCAGGATTGGCTGCTGAAGCAGAAGGAGACCAAGGTGAGCAGAACACCATCAGAGCCAGAACCTGTTGGTTCTGGTGGACCACCAATCAGCCGACTCCTGGTCTATAAAAACCTGTAGTTTGGGTTCTGTTTGATCTGTTGGTTCTGGTGGCCAGAGCCTGACCTGGTGTGGTTCTTGTTTGGCAGACTTCCTGTCCCGTCATAGCCTCCATGGA